CTGAAGATGTTGGCTTAAAGATGTGGCACCTGTCAGTTTTGTACCTGTGTAAATTTGAACAAGATTTTAACATTAAATATCAAATCCTCTGATGTTATTTCACTTTTGTTAAAAATTTGCAATGAGATTTATTGAAGTGCGTTATGTTAACACCAGTAGATATTGGTTTCTATGGTATTTCAGTAGAATTCTCATCCATGGAATTTGTGAGTCTCTGTACAGAAACATATCTACCAGTATATTAGTATGACAGTAATTGATTATGAATATTAATTAAGGTCTAATTCCTGTCTCTTATACTCTCCTCTCATGCTGGATTAGCTCTACGCAGTGTCACAGTAATTAGATTTTAGCCCATACAATAGTTTTTTTATAATAGGGTTTGTACTGAGAACTGTACGATTGTAAACCCAGACTTAGGTATTGGGGATTCGGAATTCTATCAGAACATCTACAAAATGACTTACCTGTAATCGACAATAAATCTGCAACTGTATATGTGTTGTTTTAGTCCATCTGTTAACACTGTATTGATACTGGGACCTTGATTAATAAACAGTCTATCAATAACACGAAACATCATCACCAGACATTTAAAATATGTTATATCTAGGTAGTGTACAGGATTTACCTCACATGTATAACTCATCGCTTAAAATTACCTTAACTACATCTGTCTTAAATCCATGAATATCAACACTACTGCTTCAAACTGACAAATATTCTAATCTTCTGATGTTCGAAAGATTCTTCATTTCACTGATAAGTTTTACTTACGAAACAAGGACACATACAACATGTGATGTAATTATGTTGTAGTAGTTAACACATTTTAAACTAATTACATAGTTTTCTAAGTTAATTGACTTGTCTTAACATTATAAAAACACTACTCCTAATTAGATTATCCCTGGGGTAGTAGACATCTGTATCTATTAAAATGGTCATGTAGTTCTAACATGTCCAGGTTTGTTAGGACTAATTTGATAGGCTGAGCCAGGCTGCTAATTGGACAACAATTGGTCCAAATTTGAAGGTGCTAAGATTGAGTGTAGAGTTGGACACCTATGGGGTGTTATTGGATATACAGGTAGTGATGGATTATCATAAGAGAACCATTTGTCTGCCTTAAGGGGAAACATAATTAAATTATAACTTGACTTTTTTCTCACATTACAGCCAACATAAGTACATATAAATTGAGTTTGTTGAGCAAATATGTTCAGTTTGAAGGTGAGAGCCTAAGTACACACACATACTGTTAGTGGATTTTTCTTCACTTTTGTGTTGTGTTACAACCCTGCTTAGATAATATTTGTACTTGAAATGTGTCAGAAGCAACAGTAGAGAATAAGTCCCAAGCTTGTGTACACCCAACAGCAGTGGGGCATTCTTAAACCAACATTTACCCTCAATCAATGAGCCGTGAACACTGTTTGTTTTTCCTATTTTACAGACTTTAAAGATCTAGATTTGACTCATTCGACACAGTGCTATCAAACAGCACCAGGAAACTGGACATTTCACAGTGCTAGGAGAATTGTGGATTGTAATTTCTTCATTCATAGTAAAACGGTAAGTAGCTGATACTATAGGTATTTAATGTATTTGATGAGAACTTGTGGAATTATACAGGAAGTTCATGACAAAGACAACTTAAGGACAGATGTGTTCTTGTTGAGTTTAAAACTAAAAAGTTCATAAATATGTTTGAAAGTATGGTGGTAGTTGATAATACAATTTTTATTTATTTCTTTTTATATATGGGAAAGATGAACTTCTGAAACCATCTGACTTTAAAAAAATTAGAAATCAAGTTTTCTTAGAAGCATGCATAAATGTTTTAAAAATAAAACAGCTAGATTTAAGAGAATTTACAATATTATGAAATAATTAGTGATTTAAAAAATGAATAGGAAATAAAGCAAATTTGTATAGAAATGAAATAATGATATTTTATGTAAATAAGCAAATGTCTTATTTAGTAAGACAAGCTATAGTTTAGATTGTGAAAATTGTTTTGGGTCAGAATTGTTTCTTGCTAGTAATATAACCTTGCTGCCTGTGTATCTACTTGACATTATAGTGATCCGTAAGTTGACATTTCTTACATCCCACAACATACCAAACACCTTGTAACTGACAGGAGATTTGATAAATAATTACGCTTGTTTATAATGCTAGTCCCTACCTTCACTCTGATGGACCATTATCTGACCAGGCGGTACCCAGGGTGTCGGGTTGTCACAGTTACTGATCAGACACAGGGCTATCATGCTGCGTTTATCTACCCTCTAACATTAAACCTTCTTAACATTTTGTTGTTTTCCTTTTTCAAAGGAATATGTGAGTGATAAGATTGGATGGTCATCGGAAAGGCCTGTGTGACCTCCGGGGTCATTTCCAGGATCTCTCCAAGATTACGTATTGTTTCAATAACTTAGATAGTAGAGTGGACAGATTACGATAGATCGTACACAAATATTTAGTTTGTTGTACTGTGTCTTATACTCTCTTTGTATACCAAATCTTAACTGAGCCTTAGGTTCATTTCCTAAATTTAATTAAATATTAATTTAATTTTAGGCCTGTGTAACATGTCAAATCATGCATGGTTTAAATCAGGGACATACATATACATCCAAATTTGGTAAATGAAATGTTGAAACACGGTTGTTTAACATCTGATTTCATTTTAATTAAATTCTATTTTTAAAGTCTGATGCTAAAATTGTGGATTCATATGGAAAAAATTGTAAATTGATGTTTTAATCTTGTTGTTTCAACTAACATCATGTTATAAATAAAGTTATCTCGTGTGTTAGTGCTCCAGGCTTCACAAATACAAACACCATTTCTCATATCATCAACTTTACTTTAGTTTACCTTCTAAAATGTTATCTGATTTCTATGTTTATATATCAAACTTTAATACATTTTTGTTTTTAATATATTTGAAAATATAATCTTTTTAGATTTATTTCAAATATGTGTAAATTCAAACAGGTTTCCAGTAAATTTTTAACAGATAAGTGATTTCCTCTTTAAACTGTTTATCCTGCGATAAGAATTTTTATGAACCTAAGAAAGCATTAGTGTCACTGACAAAGGTCACAATGGTCATTTCTAAATTCTTACCGGACAGGTAACTTCCAGGTGGTCATGGTCTGATTTATTAATTAGGAACTATAATAGTGACAAGGGAGGCATCATTCATGCTCTATTAATGGCACACAGGTGACAAATTTGTGTCGTTGTTTCTGACCTGTAACTGGCCATAAAATGTGTAAACATGGACAGATGGACAGTCATGTATGCAATTGCATATACAAGCTAGACCAACGATCTACATATAAATGTATGCAACCACGTTTGGTCAAATGGTCAGTCATTTGGGTACACACATAGGACGTTGGTCAGTGTTTGCATTATGAAGAACTCCTGGTCACAACCTACTGTTGAAGCGGGTGCTGAGCTGTTTATGACACAGAATTATATTGATTTATCAACTAGAAGGTGTTTGATTAAACATTTCCGTAATCAAGAGAGGGTCATTTAGATGCTGGATGGCAGGGATTTACACCTGCTAACGAGCACACCAGAGTCTCTATTGGCTTTGTTACCTGTTGTGTACCTACCTAAGTAAGGGCCATTAACATCGATACATTGAACATGGAAGTTTATGGTTTGTACATACACACCTGATACTGTAGGTACTCTAGGACCATTCATGTTATCACCAACTTTTCTTTGTTTCTTGAAGTAGCGCTATTTTTACTGTGGGACTTAACACATTTTTGTTGGCCTATCTAGGAATTAGGGAAGTCAATCCCAGTTTTCATCCCCTAATCCCTAACTAGCAATATTGCAATAGGTTTATTGAAAGTAGGATCTCATTAAGGACACAGCGTAAAATCAGAATCCAGCGTCTCCAGGCTCCATAGGTAGTGGACACTGGTCACTGAACAAGGGCACACAGGTAGAAGACAAGATAGCTACACACCTGATAGGGCACAGTTAGTCATTAGGCCAAATTTTTAGCTACCTTACACAGGTAAATATCAGCGTGTACAGGTGAGCTTTAACTTCAGTGAGTGAAGGAAGATGGGCACAGGTAGACTGTAAAATCAGATGAAAAATGGGAGGAGGATAGGGAATTTGATGTAAGTGTTATAGAATTGTAAAAGTTTGGCATCTCAGATGTTCAGTTTTATATATCAAATTGAATTTTTATTTTTTTGTTTTTATTTGTTTTGTTTTGTTTTTTGTGTGTGTGCTGTTTTCATTAGCTATATAAATTATCGAACGAAAATACTTTTATTTTGTAAAAAGATTTTTAACAGACTTGAAATTTGTTTTGATTTTTAATGGTTTATGTGTGACATTCTATTAATATGTTTACGTTTATAAAGAACAAGTTCCATTAATTAATCTCTAAATGATAGAACTTTTTACACTCAGATTTGTTGTATTGTAAGATTTTTATAGACTGCCAGCACAGTACATCATTTTAGCTTAATTGATTTATGTGTCAGCATCATGATGGATTTTTGCTTCTATTTGTTATTAAGACAAGTTTCCCAGGCCAGGTAGCACTTTGACTTTTCAATGCAGGATTATGTTTCCATTTCTATGCAACTCTTCTTGAATAGGAGGTAGAAAAATCCATACCAGCACAATTCCTTAATGTGTGCAGATTGAGTCTAATCCCTATTTGCTCTCCCATACATTAATACAGGTATTCAGTGTGATTCTCTGTGATCAAGATATTACACTCTCACTACTTAAGAGTAGAGGTGTGACAGCCAATTATTTCAGAACAAATTTGTTCTTTCAGATAAACATGAAATAGATAATGAATATTCATGAATAAAATGTAAAAGATGTGATGGTAAATACAAGCTTTCAACTCATTACATTTTGTTTTATTCATTTTCAGGTCAGTGATGGAGAGATGATCAGAACTTGACTGAATTGTTTTGGATCTTGAAAACAACAAACAAGATGAAGCCCGTTTTAGTTTTTCTTTCGCTGACAGGATTGTTCTGTGGAACTTTGTCTGAGAGTGCTGTCATAAAGTTTATCATTGCTGAGGAACTGCCAGCACCAACTTTAGTGGGAAACATCGCAGAAAGAAGTGGATTGAGGATTAATTACACAATAGAAGAGTTTAACAGTATTCGTTACAAATTTCTGGATCAAAGCGTCATGCAAACCCGTTTTAAGATAGATGATGTATCGGGAAACCTGTCAACGTCTGTCGTACTAGACAGAGAGTCCATCTGTGGATACAAGGAGACTTGTATCATGGCATTCGACGTCGCTGCTTACTCTAACATGATCACCTTGTTTGAAATTTTGTCCGTAGAAGTTGAGCTCACTGATGAAAATGACAACATCCCAACATTTCCCGAGAATAACGTCACTTTCCAAATGTTAGAATCTTCTGTAATTGGATCTACTATTTCGTTAGACTACGCAACAGATCTGGATTCTACACGTCAGAACTCCATCAAATCTTACGAAATTGTTCCAGAAGATTTCGGTGTGTTTGGTCTCAATGTGACAAGAAAGCCAGACGGGGGTTTTCAGTTGAGGCTTGTGTTGTCACAATATTTAGACAGAGAAACTACCAATCACTACCAATTTTATGTGATAGCCAAAGATGGAGGAATTCAGCAGAATATCGGAACATTGACTGTGAATATCATGGTAACAGACTACAATGATCATTCACCAGAGTTTGTTCAGCCAATGTACAATGTCACAGTAGCTGAAGGTGTTGCCATAGATACATCCATTCTGACTCTGTCAGCTACGGATAAAGATATCGGTGAAAATGCCAGAATCACGTATGGATTTAGCTCCAGGCAATCAGATTTAGACATCATCACCAGTTTGTTTGAAATAGAATCTGCTACTGGAGTTGTGAAAGTCATTGGAGACTTGGTATATGAGACTGGGAAAGTTCACAAGTTTTACGTAGAAGCTAGTGATCATGGAGACCAGCCTCGAGTTACCCAGACCACTGTGTATGTGTCCATCTTGGACGTAGGCAACAACCCACCAATTGTGAGCATCAACTTCTTATCATCAGGAAACGCTGGTCTGGTCAATGTGTCTGAGTCTGCCAACCTGAAAATGGTCATAGCCCATGTAAATGTGATAGACACAGATTCAGGGCCTAATGGAAGAGTGGATTGTACTATTTCTGGTAGTGACTTTGAACTTTCGCCTGTGGGAGACAAGGGGTATATAGTACGAGTGAACCAGACGCTCGACAGGGAGACGAGAGAGGTACAGAATATCTCCATTGTATGTCGTGACCATGGATCTCCCGTCCTCAGCTCTTCTCTCCACTTCCTGGTAAGGATCCTGGATGAAAATGATAATAAGCCAGTGTTTAACCAGGACACATACTTTGCTTTTGTGGAAGAAAACAGTAAAATTGGTGCCATGATTAAGCAAGTTAGCGCCACTGATATAGACGTGGGGCGCAATGCTGTTGTATATTACTACCTTGACGATGATGCTCAGGGACGTTTTGCCATCAACTCCAATTCAGGTGTAATTACAACTTACACACATTTTGATCGTGAGCAAAGAAATCACTATGAGTTTACAGTCCTGGCAGTTGACAGTGGTAACCCTCCAATGACTGGCTCAGCCACTGTTGTCCTCACTGTCACCGATATTAACGACAATTATCCTACATTTGATGGAGCTTCATTCCAGTTTTTTGTTCAGGAAAATTTGGCTGTAGATGCATATGTAGGGACACTGAGTGCTAATGATGATGATGAAGGGGTTAACCAAGAGGTCATATTCTCCATAGCAGCATCATATGCTAATCTGGTACCATTTTACGTGATGCCCGATGGAGCAATCAAAACAAATATTCGTCTGGACAGAGAGACCAAGTCCATGTACACTTTTGAAGTTGAAGTAACAGACAAAGGTTCACCTCCCCTAAGTACTGCCACTAATGTTGTTATACATGTCACAGACGACAATGACCAGGCACCAGTCATACAGTTCCCTAACAAGGGAAATAACTCTGTGTCAGTTTCCTTCCTGGTTCCCATAGGTACCACGATTACTAAAGTGTTGGCTTATGATCTGGATGAGGAAGGTCCAAACAGTCGCCTGACCTACTCCATCAGATCTGGCAATCACCATGATATTTTTGCCATTGGTCAGACGTCAGGTAACATTTATTTGAAGAGAGCATATCCTCTAGAGAGCGATGAAACATTTTTACTGGAAATTTCTGTCAAAGATAACGCACCTCAACCAAAAGAAACAGTCCACCAACTGGAAATCATACTTAGATATTCCAACGAATCAAGTACTTCCCTTGTGCCCAAGACAGGAAATACAAATGTTATCATCTCTATTGTGGTCGTGGCATTCACTTTTGTCATATCAGCCGCCATTATCACCACCATCTGCATCCTGCGACGTCATGACAAAAAATTGGAAATGAAACATTCAGAGAAAATGTTTGACAAACCTGAAGTTGTGTCTGATGAAAAAATGAAAAAAGGAGATTTAACTTACAAAGTGGATGATGTAATTGACACTCCTAAAAAGAAGAAAAAGGAAGTAAGTTTTTCGCTGGACGAAGCCTACGGGAGTATGCAACATGACTACACTGGTACAACCGAGCTTAACATTGCTGATCCCATTGAGGTAAATAAAACCATGCTACATCATTGTAAAAGCATCAAAGATTTCATATAATTCTAGGGTAAATAATAGTGATAAGATATAATATAAATAAGATTCTGTTATAACAGTAACTATAATGAATAAAATAAATTTGTTTAATCAGTGTTGGAAAAATGATAAAAAAATTACACCTTTCTCAAATTTAGCGAAGTATTGTCAAAATGCTATGATGTGGGAAGAAGGAAAGAATCTTTTTTCATAGTTTTTTTTCAAGTATTCCATGTTGTGTTATTAGATATTAGAAGTTAGTAGCTGTCAGTAAAACGTGGGACAGAGAGAATTTTTCCTTGTGTACAGTGCCTGGAAATAGTGTAATTACAATAATACTCGTTAGGCTCTTATAACATTATCGGGAAATTATATAACGTTGAGATATCATTAAAGAAAACGAAAGAATGGCTTTGCTGCCTTATCCAGAATTTATTTTGATATGAAATCTTTCCTTTGTGAAATTTGATCTGTCTGTTATACCATACAGTAGTAACATCTTTCCAGAGTTGTTGTTAGGTATGATAAGTGGGCAAACACTTTCAGTGACAAAAATAGCGGTCAGTTGTTTGCCTAGACAATGTGCTCCTTTCAGGATTTCCGTTAACTATTGGTGTTGCATCACCAACTGAATCTGTGTCCATCTCTAATGTAAATTTACTCGGTAAATAAGTTGGTCTTTGGCGGTACATCATGTATCAGCCTTTACAGAGGATTTGTGTTTACCTGGTCACCCGTGCGTTTATACAAGATAAGGAAAATAATCTGGTCCTCAATAGGAGTGAACACACTAGGAGCATTGATAAATCTGTAGTGGTCATTGTTATAATATCACATACTATCATAACCTCATAATCCATACCATACGATCAATTCCTTCGCCCCCTGTGATGTACAGAGAAATGTTTCATGTATGTGTCACAACATCAGGTTGTACAACATATTATAGAAATGACGAATCATAAACATATTAATTCAACACAGTAATTTGTTTGAATAATATAAAAATATGGCGCATATATTTTTTATGTTAAAATAAAACTGATTCTAGTTTAAATGATGATCAGTTACAAACTGAGTATATGTCATAATTCATGTATCTTCATTGTCTGCTATAATTTTTTCATAACTTCTGTTTAAATTTTTCAGGATGCTATGTACCCCAACCAGTCAAACAAGCAGATAAAAAATCTACAACTTCACAAGCTCCATCTACAGGCTCATGATAAGGAGGAACAGGTAACTATTTTACTGAAACAGTAGTTCTTAAAATATCTGTTTCTGATGTGCAAGAAACTTATTTCACAAGAAATCAAGGTTCATAAAAACAAAAATCCTTCAAAAAATAAAAGAAAGAAAAAAAAAACATTTAAAAAAAACCCCACAAAAAACACAGTTTTTGAAGGAAAGAAAGTTAATCTCAGAGGAAATTAAGATTCTTTCCTTCATGGCTCCATAATACGTTCTCATAAAAATTACTTTTTTTCCACTTAAGGTGATCTATTATTGAATCATTATAAATCTTTAGGTTTCTCCACACAAACTTAATACAGTCCTTAAATTTTATTCAATTCCCTTATATTGATTTTGACACTTTGGTTTTCAATTTATTTAATTTTACTTATCTCTGATCAAAATGACCTTGGGTTTGTGACGGGTAGGTTTTTCTCTGACAGCTAATGTCAGTGTCAGTCTGCTTGTAGCTAATATCGTCCATTGTATCCGTAATTTGCCTGGCTATCCTGGCATTTCTAGACATGGTCAAATCATGTTTTATTTCTTGGTAATTGACATAAATGTCTTCTAAACCAGTGTAATTACCAGCACTGTGAAATTGATTTTTGAATGCTTCTTTGAATTTGAAAATAAATTTAAAATGTCCGAAAATAATTGTGACACAGAAATAACACAGGCCATCTTTTGCTGGCAGCACGGGACACAGGATATTCATTCATGGTTCTGATCAGGCAGTCACTGGTCCACATTTGTGTTGTTACTCGGCCACATAAAGGTCTGATTTATAATGTTGTAGCGCGCATTCCTTTTATTATTTTTACAGAATTAATGGAGGTAAAATTGACTTGTAGATCCCATTCATACACAACCATGTTTGTCCAAGCCTGGTGGGTGGGTCTAAAGATTTCTGTTCACGAAATAAAAAAGGAACAACATTCCAGCAGAGAGATTTATAGTAGTTTTAGAATTTAGCCAGTGTTTGGTTTAATTACCTTTTTAATCCTGAAGTATCCCCCTGTCCAGGTAATGTGTTATGTATAACTACAGGTGTGAAATCCACTGACTACAGCAGCTGGCTGGGAGAGTTTGAAGGCCCAAAAGTTCACTTAGTCCTCAAATAAAACAGTATCATGCCGAGTCTATATAAATAACCTCTATATCGTGTTTCCGGATCTAGTGACCACTGGTCAGCCGGCACAGCAGTTGGTCTTGTACCTGGAAAATTAAACCTGCCATAGGCATTCCTTATATTTCATTTCAAATGAAAAATACAATGCTATTAAAATAAAAGATGTATAAATTTTCCAATAAAGATTTGAGAATCTATTTGATTCTCATAAATATAAAAAGAAAAATGTATTCATGCATATTTAAATTACAACGATATTCCCTGAGATAATTAATATTTGACCTCTTTTCTTTTTTCAGAAGAACATTATGGCGCAGCCTCTGTTTGACAATTTAAGTGATACATCTGGCGAGACAGCTAATTCAGACAGTGGTCGCGGGGGAAGTGACGTTGATCTTTCATGTCAAATGAGCATGCAAGGTACTACCAATTTAAAAATGTGCAATAAAAATCCTACATAAATTATTCTGTTACATTGTGTTCCAATGTTTTAATCTATTTTGAACATAAATTTGACAAAAGTGTGTCAAACAGTATTCATTTGTAATGAAAACTGTTTTATATCCCCCCAAAAAAAGAAATGTAAAAAAAATGGATGCCAGTTAGTTGTGATAAAATTGTATTATAAAGTATGTGGGAATAATGAATTTTTTGTGTGTTTCAGATGAACTGAAAACTTTCACATTCAACTATTTCAACAAGAAACCAAAGTCATCTACACCCTCAACTTCATCAAATATTTCATCTTCACAAATGCCAATTCACAATAAAAACAGAACTCATCGAAACAGTGAGAACAGTGGTCATTATGGACAGAAACATTATCCTGGATCTGTGGATGTTTTTCACACTGGGTCAGAATTTCCCAGAGAAAAAATAGACTCCAGAGTGAGCAGTTCTATTGACAACTTTACCAAAGACAATTCCAAAAAAAATGGACACAGATCAAAATCAAAATCCGAGAAATGGTTTCCATCCTATGTGTGAAAAGGCACTTGTGTGATAGTTATAATGACAATCTGTGACACTCTCACTGGAAATTTGATCTCAATGACTATACAGTTGTGATTCACTGATGTGAGCAGTGATGGTGAGAAAGTGCTCATGTTCCTGATGACTATAGGACCAAATGTGAGATTGACTTTGATGTTAATCAAAAGAAGACATGTGATATAAACAGTATACAAAATAGAATGGATGTATGTGCTCTTCCTGAAGTCATTCACCATGTTTTAATCTTCATCCATATAAATTCCCAGCCAGTTAAGACAGATTTGTGACAGTAAAGAATTGTTCACCAAACATAAAATAGTACAGTGTATGACCAACAAGTTTAGACCAATACCAACAGACCCTGTCCACTAATGCCATTGTATCAAAAGGTCCTTCCCTTGGCATGTTGGAGATCTAAAAGGGTCCTTCCTTCAGAGTGTAGATCTACGGACAAGGCCCTTCCCTCAGAGTGTAGATCTACTGACAAGGCCCTTCTCTCAGACTGGAGATCTTCTGACAAGGCCCTTCCCTCAGACTGGAGATCTACTGACAAGACCCTTCCCTCAGAGTGTAGATCTACGGACAAGACCCTTCCCTCAGAGTGTAGATCTACTGACAAGGCCCTTCTCTCAGACTGGAGATCTACTGACAAGGCCCTTCCCTCAGACTGGAGATCTACTGACAAGACCCTTCCCTCAGAGTGTAGATCTACTGACAAGGCCCTGCCCTCAGAGTGAAGATCTACTGACAAGACCCTTCCCTCAGAGTGTAGATCTACTGACAAGGCCCTTCTCTCAGACTGGAGATCTACTGAAAAGGCCCTTCCCTCAGAGTGAAGACCTCATTATATCCTGCTGAAAGCGTTGGAACAATCATCATTCAAAAATGTAAGTTCATTCTATATTGTAATATAGTGAATCAATCCAAAGAGAATGAAATTATTTATGAAATTTAAAAAAGACAATAAAAAAAGGACATTTTTTATGTAAAATACTTATTCCACTATAACCAACATTACCAATATCCAGAAAACATGTTTTTATTTGAAAAGAAATTTTAACAACTTTTCGTAAAAATGTAGGTTTTTCTTATTCTCTCAAAGTCTTAGCGAAGGTATATTACCTTTTCACACTTGTTTCCACTCGTTATGAAATTAACATCTATGTACAAAAGGTATTCAAGTGAAAAGTGCCAAGTGGTGTGAAATCTTGATACATCTGTTCTGGTATGACAAATGCTGTCATACAAGTATTGTTCCTATTGTTCTAGTTAACAATGATGTAGAGGATACAATCTCAGGTCGTCAAATCCACCAAATACTTCGTTGTTTACAGTCAGTAAACAATCTCCAAAATCACAAAACGAAATATTTTCCGCAACATTCACAAGATAATTTGTCAGTGAAAAGATCTTGTTCAAATCTTTACTTGACTTTGTCAATAAAGGCGATCAGCAGGGAAAGGAAGTTCGATTGGAATGTATGTTAAAATGGCCAAACTTTGTTGACTTGTCAAAGGGTTATTTAAACATCCATTTTAGAAGAATTTTGTTAACTTGCGATCATTGGTTGGTCATTTAAATATCAATTTTATATCATTCACCTTTAATTTACCTACCAGATGTTAACGATACATTGTGTTTAGAAACTTGTTTGTCGTTTACTGTTTAAATACACATTGATCAACATTTTGGCCTGGCCAAATACACAGAGACTGGGCGGCCACCTTCCGGCGAGGCATCAATACCCTGTATTTACTGAACCCCATGTGTTAAGAAAAATATTGGGATAGCTTATCAATAAGTTACAATTTTGTAGAATTTTCAGTGAAAGTATAATTTACTTGTCCTTCAGCAGAAATCAAAGTCTGGTTTTATCCTTCTGTCAATAACTTTAGAGATAAAAATATTCCTTATTAAATTTTATAGTTTACAGCTCTATGCTTACATTCCTCTGTCAGGAAGATAAAAACACCTTATCTTTAAATCAACTCATTGTATTGTTTATTTTTCATTTATTTTTTTACATTTTATTTCATTTTTCTACTTTTTTAAAAAGAAACTTGGAACTTTAAGCGTAATTAAAAATCAACAAGATTAGTTTCAGTTTTTATCTTCATAGGATGATCTTTAAATATTGTCTGTCAAAAACTTTTCAAAGTTTGATTTTGTTTTCTTATTTCTATGGTAACAGTTGTATGTGTAAAGGCTTATTTTTGTTTTAATTTGGAATATTTATCAATGTCTGTCTTTTGATACCTAGCATTACTGTTAAACATGATGAAATACTTAGGACTGATTAATGCAGACATCATGAACCTTACAAATGCATCATGTAGTTTCTGTTATATATTAGCATTTTTTATATGGAATTTTATTTTCTTGTCTTTTTAGGATTGAAGAGAAAAATCAAGAAATGTCAAAGAAATGGCCGTTGATTTCCAGTTCATCTTATGAAGAAGAAGACAGCGTTTAAAGTATCATGCCGTGTCATTTGAAAGTTCTTTAGAAACATTGCCATTTTCTTGACAACTTGGATTAAAAAGATATTGGTTATGGTCAACAAACAGTCATCACAGAACCATTCATCTTATTTCCTACTAGACAATACAAGGACTTCTGCAGACTATTGGCGGACTTCAGTGTATAACTAAATCGGTATAGAAATGGCAGATATGTTTCAGGTTATGCTGAAACAAACCTATGATATTACATTTTCAAATGGTGCTAATTACTGTGTTTCACCCCTTACACTTACATACATATGTGAATCTGATTTGGTTTTCAGAGAGAAAATAGAAACTGTATTATATGTATATGTGAACAATTATTTGACATAAATTTGAAATTAAGATTTATAAGGTGTGGTCAAATGATTATACTGTTAAGGGCTCATAATGGGCAATGAAAAATTTAAAAAATTGAATTCCAAATCAATTAATTATTCTACGAATGTTTTTTGATTAATAGTGAGCCAGATCTGATACACTGTTTTTTTTGTTAAGTGATTGTGATGTGGTATGTGCTCTCTCTATATAAATAAAATATAGAGAAAATCTTAGTCAGTATATGCTAACATACATTTAACAGTATAGTGTTGGTAGATACACAGGTTCTGACATTTCAGGGATTTCAATGAGTCACCAACAAAATTAAACAACACAAATTGAAGTTCTTGATTTCTTAACTCAAAACTGATGAAAAAATGAGATACAAAATTCAGAGTAAGTAATTCCTTCATTGTAACATGCACATCTTGTTATAATAAATATTTATTTCCTTCTCATTCATCATTTTTTTTCTGCACTCTTGTTCTTTCCAAATATTAGATGGTGTGAATGAAACTTAAAAGTTGTCTTATTTAAGTTTTATAATCTTAAATGAAGATCTCCTAATGAGGATCAGTGAGAAAACCATAAAGATATTTCTTTAAGAAATTATGATATTATTTCTCTGACATAATTCCAATAATTTGTAATTATTATTCTGTCAGAAATAAAGTTACAAACATTATTGTTTAGAGGATATCACTTGATGTGAAATGTCTGTAAAATTGTACATTTTTTGTAATTTATTAACTGAAATAACAAAAACGAGAAAATAGTGCCAGCTGAAAGTTGGTTACTATTGACATAGCCCTAATGTTCATTGTTTATGATTGTTACTTAATGTGAATTTGATGTTGTTGTTATGATAAAGATGTTCACCCATGTTGACAGTAATAAAACTGTAAAATTTTAAAACTTGATTTGTTTTCTTTGCTGGCTTTTTATATGAATCAAATTACTGAAAAGGAAATGAAGCGATAATTAAAATTGTACAATGTTGTGTATACACAAAGCATTTTATTATGACTTGAGTATTAAACAATGACTGTAACGTTATAAACACTACAGAAGATAGCTTGATTTGCTTTCTGAATTTTCTATTAGTTTCTTGTAGTTATAGGGACATTTTTATGCCCTCAAATTGAAAGATCACAAACATATCGGTCAACTTTAACCTTTCCCATAACTATTGCACGGTAAGAGGTAGGACTTCCATATTATGTGTGATCCTTGTGACAAGACCTTTCCGGTGGTACCCAGTTTTTTGACAATGTGACCTTGACCGTGAACTTTGACCTACATTTGAAAACAAAAAATCATTACGATAATGAAGACATAAGTGTTTCACATAGTGTGAATGCAGTTCTAATGTCTCACATCAGAATTCTGTTGCAATTAAGGACATGGTGTTTCATAAACACATCTTTGTGGCAAATTTTGTCTCACTTACGGCAGTAATCTCAACATTTAAATTTGTTTTGTTAAATGGACATCTGACTACTGGGGTAAGTGAATCCCAAAATTATCTCAGTGATGTTTCATAACAATTTAAGAATGAATTATATTTTTCTAAGGAATAAATAATTCATATGAAATAATTTTATATAAGTACTTCAATATCATTTTGATTACCTATTAGCTGTAAATCGTCAGTCAGTCTCTTGTTGGAAAACCATTGTAAAACTGTATCTCCCTGAGGAGGGGGGGCATCATATAGAATAAAAAGGTCCATTTTGTTTAGCTGCGTTATAAGGCATTAAGGGGATTCATGACATCGTGAAATATAAATCTACTTTTATGACATTGTGTCTGAGAAAAAAATGTAGGCATAGTAACCATTTGAATCACTTTAAGGTACACGTTGAAATTCATTGATGGAGAGATATTTTGACATTTTAGTAGCACATCTCCAGTGATAACAATGTTCCGACCAAACTTCAGGTGAAGTTCCGAGGTGTGTGGTCTAACGGTCCTTACCCGTAGCGGTGTGGGTCTCTCAAGAACCTGAGTAACGGACCAGTCTCTGCTGACGGTCCTTACCCGTAGCGGTGTGGGATCACAAGAACCTGAGTAACAGACCAGTCTTTGCTGACGGTCCTTACCCGTAGCGGTGTGGGTTGCTCAAGAACCTGAGTAACGGACCAGTCTCTGCTGATGCTGTTGTACTTTGTCTGACGGTCCTTACCCGTAGCGGTGTGGGTTTCACAAGATCCTGAGTAAAGGACCAGTCTCTGCTGATGCGGTTATACTTTGTCTGACGGGCCTTCCCCGTAGCGATGTGGGTTTCACAAGAACCTGAGTAACAGACCAGTCTCTGCTGATGCTGTTGTATTCTTTGTCTGACGGTCCTTACCTGTAGCGGCGTGGGTTTCATAAGAACCTGAGTAACGGACCAGTCTCTGCCGATGCGGTTATATTCTTGGACAAAACGTTTTACCCTTATTTCTCTAGAAAGCATGCGGCGGGCCTCCAGTATGTTGTTTGGTGGTGTAGCTACCACAAAGAAATCCCGCCTCAAAACGACCCTAGCTGTTCACTGGGAGGTAAACATATCAACGAAACAAACACTACAATTAGCGGGGGAAATGTATATCATGCAAGTTAAATAAAACCGATTCGACAAATAACCCATGGACTTTGAAAGTTAGAATACAAACTGTCGATGTCTTCTCATACTTAACCATGCTTTATGACTTGTGGTGTTAGCGTCATGTATGTTCATGCAAAAAGAACAAAAGGACCGATTCCTTCTCCAGCTAACATTGAGTATAAAATCTGGCCAAACGGTATGCAATGTCATTATAACTAAAACAAAGAACAACACAACAGCAAAAATCTGGACTACATCTTAGATACACCATGTATATATACAGCTTCGTAGAAGATTGGATTATTTGAGCTCAACAAAAAAAAGACATTAACAATTTTCACTCTTTAATACCAAACTATTTGTCAACTTAGGGCAAAGTCTTGTACTTTCTTTTCATATGAACGTCTTGTTCACGTGTTAAATAGATGGTAAACTGTACAGGCCATAAGTCTAAATATAAATGTTATATATGTAAGTGCCAGGTCCCTGTCAGTGTACTGATGCTGCACAAATACAAATCCCAGCTGTGACTCGCCCTGTATACGTAACACGTTGTAATCTGTGGACGTCATGCTGCTGTCAACATTGGCCAAGAACATTGACGTGCATGTGCACGTGTCCAATACCCGATCTTACTTTATAATTTTCACACCTGCTATTGATCGCGTGCTACAATTTATTTTTTTATTAAGTTTTTTAAACACTTCATAGGAACTCTTCAGTGCCTGGTAATGAAATCAAATAGTCAATCGGACAGTTCAAATAATATTGATAAAGTATTTTTTAATTGCTGAAAGATCGACCGGACAGATGATGAAAGAATTGTATATTTCCTACAGAGTTGTAAAAACAAGACATTGTATTTCCTGTCATTTACTTTTATTGATTCCACGCTATTTTTCCCTTTCCTGTACTCTAATCTCAGCGGAGGGGAAATAAACATTGGTTAGGTTAACACTGAAATGCATTATTTTTATATAACCTCTGTTTGGCTTGTAAGTTCTACACTACTGAATATCTTGGTACTCCGAACAAAGGTTTTATAGTTCTGTTTCCTGTTTATATCATGTCATTGTGTCTGTTATTAACACGAAGTGTTAACATAAGCACAGCACAGCAAAAACGTATACAGGCAAGAAAGGTGAATTTCAGTCTGTTACAAATTTAGTAAAATATATCACAATGATTGGTCCATAATTTTCAAAAAGAAATGCCCATCGTCAAACCTGTTTCGTCATGAACAAGGAAACGTTAATAATTTGAAATCAATATTATTATCAGATTATATAAGCTGATTTATACCTAGCCGTTTTAACGTTGGGAATTTGTACATCTTGTGAAAAACACCAAACGTTGATTTTGACAGATTTATAAAAAATCGTTTGAAGTCTGCCGAAAAACACATTAGAAGGGGTCATTAAGGAGATAGCGACCAAAGCAAACAAATTATAAATATTACCAGTGACCTCGGGTAAATATATCGAGCTGAGTTTGTTGGGGATCGTTAGCAACAGTTTGCTGACATTCTGTATGGTGTGAAGGAAAACAGGATTCTCGCGAGAGGTCCAACACTAAGCTAAAAGTGTCAGAGCTTATCTGTTGTAGTCGAGTGATCAATGCTTCGCCGCTTTGACGAGGAAATTATGGAAATAGTGTATCGAGTATTGACCAAGGAAAATGGAGCGAAACATAACGAGCGTATAAACACCCTAAAACTCCGATAAAAGTTTAATATGAAATTGATTTATGATACCTGAAGGACGGCTCCTACAAAAGGACCGGAATTTCTGACAATGTGATGGTATTTCTGCGTATCAAAAACGTATATTGGTGTCTCGCAGACCCCGGGGAATATGTATCATATGATTATAATATATATTTTGTTGGGTGCACAGACAAGTCACATACGTCGCTGAGAATTAGAAATACGTAAATACAAATGTGCTATAGATAAATATTGTTATAGAATTTATCATACCAATAAACTTTTGTTGACTATAAAAAAAAAAAACAAAAATCTTGCGACGACCAGGGTGGATGGCCTGTATGTGCGCCAGGTTTCGTTACAGAATTCGGACTTCTTGCCTTAATTATTCTGCTCGCCAGTACACATTTTTCACACTATCTTTTTCACACTAGCCTCAACTAGAGTAAGGTTTGAATAGGAACATTTTCAACTTTTATAATAACCCTGAACCGATTTCAATGCGGAAACATTCTCCGGCGTTATGTGAACAGAAATTGCGAATTACCCCAAGGGGTGGGGCCCAAAATAGCGAAATTGACTCAAACTTTTAAAAACAAATCTACTTCAAAAACCCAAGTGTGGTAGACTGGAATGTTCTTCATGGATGGCAGGGCCTTAAGATGTTTTACAAAATGTACCAAAATCATTTCATTACTCCAAGGTCTCAGTTCCTCCCATGGAGGGGTACGTTTACTATATTTCAAGGAGGAAAATTATTTTTGAGCATAATTTGTTCTATTAAGACAGATGTCTTTGTGACTTATTGCGATCGCTTTTCGCCCGGCGTCGTGTGGCGTCCATACATTTTCGACCTCCTCTCTCAAATCCCTCAACCATTTCTCATCAAATTTTGCAGACACTTTGGATAATCATGAGCCAAATTGGCGAACCATACAATCGTTAGCCCTAAGAGGCCAAAAGATGGGGTCAATAGGGTACATGTTAATTGAAATTTCAAACTGAATCTTAGGATATGGTAGAAACAAATACTTTTCATGTACCGTCTCGTCTTCAGGTGCTTTACCAAAAACATTGAATTTTATTATCCATGCTTCAATAGGATATAATTCTATTCTATCTTGGATAGAACTATCAGTTTGTGAAGGTACACGTTATAATATATGGATACTGACACTGATCGACCTGGAGGGGCTGACGGGTGGTGCCAAATTGGTCTCCTTTTTTCTCTAGACTAAGATCAAACTGATTACAATACACATAATTCTTTATTCTCTACAAGATGATCTGTGTTCAGATTGGACCCAGATATAGTAGATTAAAAAATATTCATGGATTGAAGGGTATTAAGATGCTTTACCAACATTTTAAATTTGATGACCCAAAGGTCTGACATCCTCGAGAACGGGATAGATGTTTTTTTTGCAATAGTTCATGTGGAAGTCAGTTTCAATTGCCTGATATGATACTTTCATTTCTGGTGACCGTCAAGGCTACTAGGCCTCTTGTACGTTTGTTCACATTATGGAACTTTTCAACAGCATATTTAAACGATTAAAAATGATAATAATCATACCTGGATTTTACGTATATATATATTGATTTTCGTCCATATTATTGTCAACAAAAATAATACCCAGGAAGTCTGTTACGGTACGTGTACTCATAGGCTTAGTATCGAGTACAAAAGCAATACATTTTGTGACGTCATAGTTACGCACAAATGTATGACATCATAATGCACGACGTTACGTTGAGATATTTCAAGTTTTGTTGACTATGAATGCTTGATTGATTTTGAAAACGCTCTTTCTGACCTAAGAGAGGTAACTCTTACTTGCCACCAACTGGTAAGTCATCAACTTTTGAACACAAGTTCGCGTGTGCCATGTCTAAATAATTTGGCAGCCAAATATGTTGTCGGGTTTGTCAGCTGCCAATGAATTCATATTGGCGGGCATTCATAAGCTGATATGAAATAGTTGAATATATTGATTTCATTTTTTGTGTGAGAAAATAGTAATTTGTTATAAAGTTGGCTTATGTAAGAGGTAAATTGAAGCATTTTCCAGGTTGCAATGTTGTCAGACGACGTCGAGGGCGATTTAGAGCCCCCGAACGAGGCTATGATGGACCTTCGTGGCAAACTCGACAACCTGCGGGAGGCTAACCGTGACCTGAATGCTAACCTGGAAAGACGTCATAGTGGGTTGAGGGAAGCCGGGGACAAGATACAACAGATGTCTAGCAATATGCACCAGTTCCAGGTGACCTTGGCGGCTATAGACAAACACATGCAAGACAACAGAAATCGTATGGTCGACCTTGACCGCATGTGCGAGGAGCTGCAGCGAGAAAAGGGTAAATGTTTAGGCTAAGTGTGACTGTATGTTTTTTTTAATGTACAAACACAGAAATGCGTGTTAAAGAGGTACAGTAGCTATTTTCAGAAAACCTTGACCTTTTAAGCTAAACGCGGACTTATTAATCGTCTGTTAGATAAGGTCATTCATATATAACTTTCCACATTTTTCAAAATATCTTGTAATACCTGGTAATCGAAGTTTGAGGTAAAACTTGTTTTGTTATGTTATAGAAGAAACAATAGATAATAACGTCAGCCTATAAGAAGCATGAATGTTTGTCATTTGTAATAAAATAAAGACGAGAAAATTAGAAAAATCCTGATAATAAACATAATTACGTAGAATATAATATTAGACCAAACTTTCGGTGTTATTTCTTGATTTTATCTTCTTTCGGGTAGATGATATCAACACAGAATTGCGCTTCCTGTCATCTGAAGACGCATGGGCAGAACTGAACTCGAGTCAGCAGCAGGCAGATGAGGAGGATGTGACAACAGAGAAACGTCTCACAGGTACCACGTGGTCAGGAATAATATTGGGTCAAATGATGCTTTGTGTACCCTAAGTACCATATTACCTATATCCGAATATGTGTATTTGTGATGTTTTGTGATGTGTTGTGACTACACACTCAATATCATAGGAGACAAATAACCATAAAAAACATGTATACACTGAGATATAAAGTGTATGGTATCATCAAACCCGATGAGACAGGCCGTTTTGTCCGCATATGGTCGGTGGCCGCTTGGCCACACACGGTCGGCTGGCCGTTTCGGCAATACATGGTCGGCAAGCCACTTCATCCACACACGGTCGGCTGGCCGCTTCGGCAACACCTGGTTGGCAAGCCGCTTCATCCACACACGGTCGGCTGGTTGCTTCGTTCCCACGCGGTCGGATACCCGCTTCAGCCACACGCGGTCTGCTGTGCACCACGGTCACACACGGTCGGATAGCTGCTTCGTCCACACACGGTCGTATATTCGCCTCGGTCACACACGATCGGCTGGCCGCTTCATCCACACACGGTCGGCTGGCCGCTTCGGCAACACCTGGTCGGCAAGCCGCTTCATTCACACACGATCGGCTGGCTGCTTCGTTCACACGCGGTCGGATACCCGCTTCAGCCACACGCGGTCTGCTGTGCACCACGGTCACACACGGTTAGATAGCTGCTTCGTCCACACACGGTCGTATATTCGCCTCGGTCACACACGGTCGGCTGGCCTCTTTAGTCACACATGGGCGGCTGGCCGTTTCGGCCACACATGGTATACGTTGATCAGCGAATCACAAGGTCGATTTGTTTTCCAACCTACACTATATTTATACTTATATGCTCATGTGTTTATATTGTAAGAAATGACATAAATAAAGGTATTCGGTTACGCTTCTGTCAATACCTGTTTGAATATTTATATACCCCTTCATCTCGATTTAGATATACCGACCACTGTACATGATAGCTTAACTGAAAGTGACAAAGTCGGAGAGCATGGAAATACATGCAAGACTCCATATGTTTCATTTGTCGACTTGAACGAAGTAGATATGTGTGTGTTGGGTAGTTTGTAACACATTACTGACCGGTCAGTTTTATTGTAATGATTCACGTGTTTACATTCGTTCAACATAAGATTGGGCACGAGAAGACCTCTTCGCCAAGCTGGATGACCTTGACGCTATGAACAAGCGGTATGCGGACAAAATAGCGGACACTGAGGACCAGTGGGTGAGCATGTCGGCCACTATGATTTCTAGATTGCTCCAGCGGTACAGTTTGACAGCTGGGGCAAAATTATGTCTAATGATAACTTTGATCTTACGAATGGTATAATTGTTTGTAGAAAGTCATCATTTGGCATTAGAAGTTTACAAATTGTTCTCTTTGTGAATACTGTTAGAAACACCTGCCTGTGACAATCTGACATTTATCCAGTCATTATGATCTTGTCTTCCCTAGTAGAACAATATATATTCTTTTGACAAAGTAAACGTGTTTCAATTTACCTGCATCCCCACTCTATGATAGTTACATCTCGCCGACGATTTGGTATTCAAGGACATATTCCCAATATCAAGATTGTAGTGCAAGATGTCGGCAACTGCCAGACAAACTCACAAAACAGAGCTTCGTGATGAAGATTATGGGGAAGTTGTATGATCGTCATAGAGGTCTCATTCTTTTTCGTTGTGCGATATGAAGTTGGACGTGTTTCATGCTTGCTAGTATGCCTGATGGTACAGTTGTTTTCCTTGTTCATATTGGAGAACGTGGCATTACTTTCTTGGAATACCCAAAAATAACAGAAGACACTTTCCAGAACACCTGGTCTTGCACTCCTTGTATTTTTTTACATGAGAGTCTGTGTAAAACTGGTCTTTCTTTTGTTCAAAGTTTGCCCTTGTTTCATCGGTTTTGAATTTGAATTTGTTTTCAAGTGGTTTTTAAATTGCAAATTGCATGGAGCGTCGTCAATGTTTTGTGTCTTTATTTCAGGAGATGTACAAAGATGAAGTTCGGAAAAGTCGAATGGAGACCAAGTCCTACCTAAACGACATCAATGAAGTTAACGCCCGAATAGTGTCGCGGTTTAACAGCCTCCTGAAATATGGTCGGCAAGGTATAGCTTTATACTGTTTGAATATTTCATAGACATCATTTTTCTTGAGCAGAGATACTGTTTTTTCTCAGTGTTTTATGCGCTAAACCTATCTATGCATGTTGAAGGTAATTATTTGAATGTTGACATGATTGAACAAACTTTGAGCAATACACACTACATATTCAAACTCAAGGGTAATGTTGCCCTCCCCTCCCCCCACCCCAACCCCCATTTCCAGCTCTCGATAACACTACAGAACGTGGTGCTAGACTTCGAGTAACCCCTTTGCCCCACCTCCGTGGATTTCTTTCAGGTCATCGCAACATTCGCTATTTAAAATTCGTTCATATGCTTGTTGTTTTTTTACCAGGTTTAGGAGATACGGAAAAGGAGTGTCTCCGAGACACCATCAAATGCATAGAAATAGACGCTGAACTCCGCAAGGAGACTGAACAGGTTGGTATCTACTACCCAATCACCCTGGCCAGGTTCTAAGTGGGCATTCTTCTGTGTTGTCTGGTGAGAAAGCAAGGAAAGCCAAAACAGTGCCTCTTCTTTATCCTAATTACATTGAGATCTTAATACTTTCATTAACTTCTAGCAGCCGTAAGCTCTTTCTTTATGGCAGCGCTTACAAAGACACTCGGTTTTTTTGTTTTTTTGTTTTTGTTTTTTGTTTTTGTTTTTGTTTTAGTTTTTGTTTTGTTTTATATATTCGTGTCACTTTAATGTAAATGGCAGAGTACAATGACACCGGGTACATGTCAGTTAAGTATCAGAGTACTTTATGTGGCGTTTCATTAGTGGTCCTCGCATTTTATTGCCACCGCCTTTATGCAACTCAACGAAAAGAAATTAGTTCTCATCATCTTGAAGACCCTAACCAAACAAATTGATTGTTGATTTAAGATTGGTTGTGATCAGTAACACGATAATCTATGTTAGTGTTTAGATACAAAGCTGTTTAGTTCGGACATTGAAGAGGAAATCGACCACCTGTTAAGACAAAGGGAACAAATGTGGGAACAGAACTCTGCTCTGATGGAGGAAATATGTGCCCTTCAGTCTCAGGACCAGGGGGAGACAATCATACCCTTAAAATCTTCGGGAAAGCACATCGATTTACCTACCAGAGACTTGACCTACCAGAGTCTTTCAGGCGACGCACAAGATACCGAAGACCAGGTTGAGGAAGCGGAACACATCGGAGGAGGAATTTCACTTCATAAGTGTGTTGGTCTATGCATGTTTGTTTGCCATTGTGTGTGATATTTCCCACTTTTAAATACAATTATCATTAAAGTACCTGCCGTGCATTTTATATATATGTATCACCAGAAGTTGCACGATGGAAGAACATTCCATTTGACTTTACCTTCAATTTAACTTTTTAAATTGTGATTCAAATATTTCTGTTACTCTTGGCGCTTCTTGCTTTTGCGGGATGTTAAATTTCTTTACTTAAATGTTCTTGAAGGTGTGTCAAGTTAACCGATCTATCTCGCCTGTTCCACGGGCCAGAGAAAGTGCAGGCGGCCATGGAAAAGGTCTTTACAGCCCAGGACGCTCAGCTGGACGCCGGGAATGACCAGCTAGATATGGATTCGGCAGCCGGGGGACATGACAAACCCCCTCCGCCTCCTGAGGAAGATTCTGAGGATGAAGATGAACCGGAACCGGAACCAGACGAAGGACCCGAACCGTCGCAACAGACACACGTCGCTCGCCGACATCACCACCACATGGAAAATACACGTAAGTATTGCCTAAACACGATTTTATTTTAGTAACGACAGAAGAAAAATAATAGGACATAACAATGTATACGTTTACATCTTTCAGTAAATGGTAGTCTTTTGATCGCGATTTGATTTCTTTGCCAAAGAACAATTTATTTCCATGCAAGCCGAAATCCAGAATAACTTTGAAACTACATGTGCCATTGTTTCTAGGAATGTCCGACCTCATGGTGTCAAAGATCCGAAGGAGAATGCCAGGACCAAATGTCCAGGCAACCCACAAAGACGCCGAGACGGTGAGTGGACAGCCCAACCTGTCCACTACTCGCAGACCTTCTGCGTTTTCCTTCACGCCATTGCAATCACGGGGCGGTCGCCCTAAACGTTAGTGCATGTCGCACGCTACAAATGTTGTTTCCATTCTACAGAGGAGAATCAAGATCGAGAAATAGTGATTTAATTATTTCCAGTGGTAAAGACACATTTAAGAAATCATCGTGTCATGTGTAAACACACGTGTTATTAAAATGTATGTAACGCATCGGAAGAGCTGCATCGACATTTTAATGATTATCTGTTAGTAACATAGATGTCTCTTTTGGATGAAATTTATGTTTCTACTTCAACTACAACAAAAGATCCCAGAGGCAATTCTTTGATTTTTATTTGTTCTTTAAATGTTGGACCATTTCCCTTCTTTTCTTTCCTCTGTTTTGCACTTGATCATATAAAATGTGAAAATTCCCTTAAGAAATATCAATTATTTTTGGAACTATAAAATTCAAGCCGGTCGCCTGTCTGCCATTTAGTTTTTCTGATTAATCCCGAATGAAAGGGGCACATACAGAGAGTCACGGTAAACAAACTACGTATGAAATTTTAGAGCGATCCATCGCGTATTTCTAACGCAAAATAGCGACAAAAAAATTCTGTCAAAACCCAAAATGGCCTGTCCCCAAGTTGTTTTCTGATCAGTCCCAAAGTCAAATGGACCAGCTTGGGACCGAAGGAAACCTACACAATACATTTGAATAACATCTCTCCAGTGCTTCTCAAGAAATGGCGATAACAAACTTTCACTGTAAAAATTTAATATGACCGCCTGTCAGCAATTTTTGTTTAAAAATGAGCCACAAATAACGACCAAGTGAACCTACATAATATAATTGAATGATATCCAACCAATACTTCTCAATTTAATATGACCGCCTGTCAGCAATTTTTGTTTAAAAATGAGCCACAAATAACGACCAAGTGAACCTACATAATATAATTGAATGATATCCAACCAATACTTCTCAAGAAAAAGCGATTACAAACTTTCATCATGGTGTCCCCCTGTCAGCCATTTTCGTCTCCGAAAATTGGCAATGCAAAATACAATTAGTGGAAACTTAGAATAAAGCATACATTGCTTCACCAGAAATAGCGACAAATTATGACTGTCATAAACAAAGACAGTCGCCTGTCAGCCTTTTGTTTTTTAAATCAGGCCCAAAATAGACGATGTACAACTCGGGATCAAGGCGAACTTTCACGCGTTTCTCCAGAGAAAGCGATATCAAACTATGACGATCGAAATCCAAGATGGCAATGCGTCGGCCATGATATTTTTAAAGTCAGTCCACATGTGGACTATGTTCAACTAGGAACCACGAGAAACCTTTCAATTTGACCAGAATCCATCCAATGCTTCTCCAGAAGAATTGTTTCATGGACGGAAGGATGATGGACGGACGAACTAACGAACGAGGAAAAGCAATTTGAATAACCCAGTAACCCACTATCATCAGATCGTGGGCTATAACGGTTCTTTTGGGTGAAGTGAATGTCACAACTACGAAAACATGTTGCTATATGTCACACAGACCAGAAGTTTCCTTAGAATGAAATAAGTATTTTAACGATAACATGTATCTAATCAGGCCCAAATTTACATTGTAAAGTACCTTAAATAAATGTTACTACAATGTCACGTGCATCATATCGATATATGTATCGACACTTAGTGTTGTAATTGACCCTCTAACCTTTGTAATTCTCGTTATCCTTATACAGGGATATAACAATCTCTTTCACCCGCACAGTACTATACATGTATGACGTCATTACGTAGTGTCATCATATCACACACTGGACTTGAATTTCGCGCATCATATAATGCCTTGGTGAAATAGAATCCACAAGAAATGTGGTCTTTATTTCGGTCTTCTCAAACTTTTGAGATTTTCTTTGACGGAATATCAATAGAATAATGATTCAAATATTGTATTTAGCAACTGAAATATGAATATATGTGAAATATTAAAAACATGCTGTTCGTCTTGTTGCTGTGGTGCAGAATATCTGAATGTTTCACGACATCGACAAACTCAATCTTTCATTATTCGTTTGACTGTAAACTTTGGAATGGATACAGGAAAGCTGTGACTATGAGTTATGACTTTCCATTTTGTATAAGTTTCATAGTGATTGACAAAGAGGTCCAGTCTTGTCATGTGATGTACTATGGTAGGGTTATCGGGTTATTGAAAAAGAGGTCCCGTCTTGTCATGTGATATACTATGGTAGGGGTTATCGGGTTATTGATAAAAAGGTCCAGACCTTGTATGTGATATACTATGGTAGGGGTTATCGGGTTATTGACAAAGAGGTCCAGTCCTTGTATGTGATATACTATGGTAGGGGTTATCGGGTTATTGACAAAGAGGTCCAGTCTTGTCATGTGATACACTATGGTAGGGGTTATCGGGCTATTGATAAAGAGGTCCAGTCTTGCAATGTGATATACTATGGTAGGGGTTAATGGGTTATTGATAAAGAGGTCCAGTCTTGCAATGTGATATACTATGGTAGGGGTTATTGGGTTATTGATAAAGAGGTCCAGTCTTGTCATGTGATACACTATGGTAGGGGTTATCAGATTATTGATAAAGAGGTCCAGTCTTGTCATGTGATATACTATGGTAGGGGTTATCGGGCTATTGATAAAGAGGTCCAGTCTTGCAATGTGATATACTATGGTAGGGGTTAATGGGTTATTGATAAAGAGGTCCAGACCTTGTATGTGATATACTATGGTAGGGGTTATCGGGTTATTGACAAAGAGGTCCAGTCCTTGTATGTGATATACTATGGTAGGGGTTATCGGGTTATTGACAAAGAGGTCCAGTCTTGTCATGTGATACACTATGGTAGGGGTTATCGGGCTATTGATAAAGAGGTCCAGTCTTGCAATGTGATATACTATGGTAGGGGTTAATGGGTTATTGATAAAGAGGTCCAGTCTTGCAATGTGATATACTATGGTAGGGGTTATTGGGTTATTGATAAAGAGGTCCAGTCTTGTCATGTGATACACTATGGTAGGGGTTATCAGATTATTGATAAAGAGGTCCAGTCTTGTCATGTGATATACTATGGTAGGGGTTATCGGGCTATTGATAAAGAGGTCCAGTCTTGCAATGTGATATACTATGGTAGGGGTTAATGGGTTATTGATAAAGAGGTCCAGTCTTGCAATGTGATATACTATGGTAGGGGTTATTGGGTTATTGATAAAGAGGTCCAGTCCTTGTATGTGATATACTATGGTAGGGGTTAACGGGTTATTGATAAAGAGGTCTAGTCTTGTCATGTGATATACTATGGAAGGGGTTATCAGGTTATTGATAAAGTGGTCCAGTCTTGTCATGTGATACGCTATGGTAGGGGTTATCGGGTCATTGATAAAGAGGTCCAGTCCCTGTATGTGATATACTATGGTAGGGGTTAACAGGTTATTGATAAAGATGTCCAGTCTTGTCATGTGATATACTATGGAAGGGGCTATCAGGTTATTGACAAAGAGGTCCAGTCTTGCCATGTGATAAACTATGGTAGGGGTTATCGGGTTATTGATAAAGAGGTCCAGTCCTTGTATGTGATATACTATGGTAGGGGTTATTGGGTTATTGATAAAGAGGTTCAGTCTTGTCATGTGATATACTATGGTATGGGTTATCAGGTTATTGATAAAGAGGTCCAGTCCTTGTATGTGATATACTATGGTAGGGGTTAACGGGCTATTGATAAAGAGGTCCAGTTTTGTCATGTGATACACTATGGAAGGGGCTATCAGGTTATTGACAAAGAGGTCCAGTCTTGCCATGTGATAAACTATGGTAGGGGTTATCGGGTTATTGATAAAGAGGTCCAGTCCTTGTATGTGATATACTATGGTAGGGGTTATCAGGTTATTGATAAAGAGGTCCAGTCTTGTCATTTGATATACTATGGAAGGGGTTATCAGGTTATTGATAAAGTGGTCCAGTCTTGTCATGTGATACGCTATGGTAGGGGTTATCGGGTCATTGATAAAGAGGTCCAGTCCCTGTATGTGATATACTATGGTTGGGTTATCGGGTTATTGATAAAGAGGTCCAGTCTTGCCATGTGATATACTATGGTAGGGGTTATTGGGTTATTGACAAAGAGGTCCAGTCTTGTCATGTGATATACTATGGTAGGGGTTATCAGGTTATTAATAAAGAGGTCCAGTCTTCGCATGTGATATACTATGGTAGGGGTTAATGGGCTATTTGTAAAGAGGTCCAGTCTTGCCATGTGATATACTATGGTAGGGGTTATCGGGTTATTGATAAAGAGGTCTAGTCTTGTCATGTGATATACTATGGTAGGGGTTATCAGGTTATTGATAAAGAGGTCCAGTCTTGTCATGTGATATACTATGGTAGGGGTTATCGGGTTATTGATAAAGAGGTCTAGTCTTGTCATGTGATATACTATGGAAGGGGTTATCGGGTTATTGATAAAGAGGTCCAGTCTTGCCATGTGATATACTATGGTATGGGTTATCGGGTTATTGATAAAGAGGTCTAGTCTTGTCATGTGATATATTATGGTAGGGGTTATCGGGTTATTGTTAAAGAGGTACAGTCTTGTCATGTGATGTACTATGGTAGGGAGGGAAGTGATGATATAGGTCCATCGTTCTCTTCAACAGTACAGAAACTGTTGTCTAGATATTTTATTTCTGTGATCATGGACTTAGAATAGATGGATAGGAACCTGCCATACCAGGAACAAGTCTAGCTTAATAATACAATAGGATTCAGTAGGGTTATCCAATCACATACATGTACAGCTATGATTAGGAATGAATGGGAACAAATTCACATTTCTCTACCCACAAATATACAACTGTAGAAGATTAATGAAAAGTAAAGAGATCTCAATATTTCTTAAAGTTATCTCACTTTATCTACAAAAGCAGCAAAAACATGTTTTACAATAAGGATATTTTTAATTTAATCTCCAAATGTGTTAAACACAATATACCAGGTGCCAATCTCAATAATATTACCTATTGGATGTTTACTACATATAA